CGGAGCTTGATTTGGGGTTTTAATTTGGTATAAATGGGTCGGGTTCGGATTAAAAAGAGAAAAAAATGGGTTATTTAATTGAAATTGGGTAATTTTAATTGATTTGGGTTTTCCATCCAATTGAGGGGTAAATTTGGTGAAATTAGTAACGGGAGGGGTAAAAATAACTTCATTTTAACGGCGAGGGCGTAGTCAAACAATAAACCAAAGTTGAGGGGTATTTTTGACCCCTTTCCCATTAAACAATTGTGAAAGGCATGCATTTTCCTATAAATAGCTTGTCTGAGAACCTGGGACAAGCAGATTTCGAACAACCACCTTAATTTCCTTCAAATAGGCAAAGATGGCCCTCCAAAGGTTTGTTTTTGTAGCAGCAATTATGCTTATCTTCATGGCTAATTTAGCTGTGAGAGCACAACAAGTAGGAGCACCTACTCCAACTCCAGGGGGTCCTTCAGACAACTCTAATGCATCACCAAATGGATTCGTTTCGACTCAGCAAATATTGCTTGGTTTTCTGAGCATTGGCATGTCCATGTTTCTTTTTCTCCTCAAACACAGAGTTTGACACTTGGATTTTCGATCCTCCAATGTTTCAAGTTTCTCAAGTTAATGTGTGACCTGTGTCTGTTTTCTTGTTATCAGTTAAGGTGTATTTGTGTCATGTCAATTCAAGTTCACTCAGTGTCCATTTTCCAGTGGAAGCCATAGTCAGTTTGCTTGCGTTTTATTATGTCTATGAATACAAATACACGACGTTGCCTCTTATTTGAAAAAAGAACTTAAAATCACCTCAAACTCGTGGGAAAGATTGTGGTAATAAGTTGACAAAGCTTGTGTAAAATTGAGCATTCTCCCAAAGTAATGCTGATTTTTTTTTTCCAAAACATTTATTATTGTATCAACAAAATACATAGTTTAAACATATCTTTTGCATCCTGAATGATTCAACTTGGGAAAAGAGATTTCTTTCAACAAAGAAATAGAGTATCTAGTTAAACTATCAGCTATTTTGTTCACAAATCTAGAAATATATATAAATTCAATATGCTTGAAAGCTTCCAAATGTCTTATTGATCAAAATATAAATCAATAAAACTATCTGCCATTACAGTTTGCTTCTCTTAACTATTCTATTTTTGTGTCGCAGTTTTTACGTCTAACATGACAACATAATTTCCCAAGTTTGTCCTCTCTAATTATGTAATTATATTAGGAAAAAGACAAGGGTCAAACCAGACCCCTAACACCAAAGGCTTTGATGACAATTTCATTTTAAAAAACAGGATCCTTGTATACAGGAAAAAAAATTGTCATTGTTTGCATTGAATCTTTCTCAAAAACAAATAAATGAAAATTTGGGTAATCCTTGAATAATAAACTATACCAAATATAACCGCAAGTGTTGGCAGAATTGGTCAAAATCACTACAATAATTACTGGAATTTTGGGTTTAACAGAGTTGTTAATTAGTAACTACAGTTGGGACATCAAACAGAAAGAAACGCCATAGATCGACCAACTTGGAAATTGGAAGACGGAGAACTGATAGTAGATACACAGGTCATGAGGACCGATGGGATCTTGGGAGCCGGAAAGAGAGATGGCCGGAGATCCGCCATTAATACTGCTCGGAATAAGCAGAAATGGCTGAGCAGAAAAGAGAAATGGTTGGTGGTTCTTGGGGTTGTACTTCATGCAGTGTACATGTTAAGTATCTTCGATATTTACTTCAAAACCCCTATTGTTCATGGAATGGACCCTGTCCCACCTCGTATCGGTGCCCCAGCTAAGCGCCTTATTCTTCTGGTTGGTGCGTTGCACTTGCATACAACTTGCTCGACGATTTGACACAATGAAATATATTCAGTTCATGTTTTTTAATTTTTCTTGCATTGAATTGGCCAGTGGGTGATTGCTTTTTCTTTTTTGTTGATAAATTGCAGCCGATGGTTTACGGGCTGATAAGTTTTACGAGCCGGATTCAGAGGGAGGTTACAGAGCTCCATTCTTGAGGAACATTATTAGGAAAAAAGGTCGATGGGGAGTGTCTCATGCTCGTCCTCCAACGGAATCTAGGCCTGGACATGTTGCTATAATTGCCGGGTTTTATGAAGATCCTAGTGCTGTCACTAAAGGTAAGGCTTTTATATATTTCTTGTTTAACCAACTGCCTCTCAACCTCAACAAGCTCAATAATTTCGCAGGTTGGAAGGCAAATCCGGTTGAGTTTGATTCAGTATTTAATCAGAGCCGGCATACATTTTCCTATGGTAGCCCAGATATTGTTCCCATATTCTGTGGGGCCTTGCCCCATAGCACTTGGAATTCATATCCACATGAATTTGAGGATTTTGCAACTGGTGCGTTACAGTTTTAAGTATCCGTTTATATTAAATATATATTACATGCTAGTAGTTTTCACAAGGTTATGTGATTACGAAAATGATATTATGTTTCATTTGGTAGAGCCCTGATTTTCTCTCCTTGGAACAATCAGTGTAGCCACCAACTTTTTGGTTCTTGCTAGTCAGTTTACCAAATACCAATTTATCAATTTGATAGTGTTACATGCAGATGCTTCTTTTTTGGATGAGTGGTCATTCGATCAATTCCAGAACCTCTTGAATAGCTCCAATAAAGACCCCAAATTGAAGCAGCTACTAGAACAAGACAAACTTGTTGTTTTTCTGCATCTGCTTGGCTGTGATTCCAATGGTCATGCACATAAGCCCTTTTCATCCATCTATCTAAATAATGTTAAAGTGGTTGACAAGATAGCGGAAAAGGTTTACAATCTTGTGCAGGACTACTTCAAAGACAATCAGACCGCATATATATTTACAGCAGATCATGGAATGAGTGACAAAGGTTTGAATGACGCTCAATTGTTTTTCTATTTCCTAATGAGTGTAATAGACATTTGACCATGTAAACACAGCACAGAAAACAGTTTATATATATGATCATTTGATAAGTACACTATGCACACAAGTTAAGCTGTTTTC